TAGTTTTGTGTTTCATTTATGATTTAGTTGGATCTTGGATGCATGATATGTGTTTATGATGATATCATATTTGTACATATCATCCATATAACAGAATAAAATATGAAATAAAATATTAAAATATAATATTAATATGGCTGGTCTAAATTTTTACCCCTTCATTTTTGTTATATTGAGAAGGAGTAGTAGTATTAGTATGCTAGACCAATGTCTTCAAACTCTGTCCGCTAATTGATTTGTGCTGACCCTGAAATAGTTATTGATTCAGTTGTTGAGTCACTGAGTCAATTGTTGAAATAAATAATTATTTTAAAAATTTGAAATTATATTTATACTATTTTTATTTTACGAGTATACATAAAAATAGTAAAAATAAATAATATTTAGTATATTATAAAGGCCTTGTTTGGTAATTAGCGGTTAGCTGATTGTATTAGTTGTTTTGACCAGATAATTGTATTAGCGGTTTGTGAATGAGTGTTTAGTAATTAGCTATTCACATGTAAAATTATTTAGAAAAAATCACAAAATTTATCATTCTTATTTATGTTGAACTTATAATTATTTAGAAAATAAAAAAAATAATATTTTATATATTTATCAAAGTGATTTAAAATATAATAATAATAAAATAAAAATATTTCTTAATTGAGTAAATAAGTTCATGCCATATAAACAGAGCTAATAACAAGTCATCACTATTTAAAAAATAAATAAATAAATATGAGTCAAATTTATCAAATTATAATTTATTAATCAATTTATAATTTATTTTTCATCTATGTCACATATTACATATGAAAAAGAAAGTAAATAATTATTGTACAAAATAAAAAGTTAAATTATACAATATTTAATCATTTATTTGTTTGAAAATTAATACTAGACAAATTGAAAACCATTAAACTGATATCAATCTTAAAAGGCTCATTATTATTGTTATGTTTTAATTACCGAAAATTTATCTATTTTCACAAATTAGACATGTATGTCAAAATGAGTTAAAAAAATGTATTTATGCAAATCGCTAGTGTGAAACGCTCCAATATGTCTAGCGTTTCCAATATTAGCTTTTTCTTCACATCCGCCAAGTAAAAAAGCTCTTTTACCAAACATAATTAATAGCTATTTTACCCCATCAAACCAGCTGTTTTAGCGTTTTGGCTCAAAACCTGAAAACTAAACACAGCCAAAGTGTTAATAATATTGCATTACGTCATAAATATTTATCACATAAATACATATACATAATTTTGTTTTTAAATTTCATATATTTTGAAATATAAAATAATGGATCAAATCGGATTGACTTGGCCCAAATCAAAATCCGAATCAATAGGTTAGACTGGCTTCCTTGTGAACCGGTTAAAAAAATCCACCCAGACCGGCTTTGGCTCCATATCGACCGCCCAGCAGATAAAAACCCATTGTGGATTGTGGTAGACAAGAATTTTCATCATTAAGAAACCAATATCAATATTTTAATTTAAAACTAGTGGGTTAAAACACTTAAAATAACAAAATTAAATACATTAAATAGCACGAAAGATAAAAATTTAATACATAATAATCTAAAAGATTATTTTTTTTTTCGGTGCAATAATCTAAAAGATTATTGACATGCAAAATTCATATGCACACACATGATTATAAAGTAATCTTGGTCAAAAGCCTTCTTTCTTGCAGTAAAAATACTCAAAATGCGTCTTTCGAAAATCCAGCCATGGCGCCATTGGCCCAACCCTGAAGCTCTACTTTCATTCCCACCTAAATTCACCACATTCGCTGCACAACCGCTGCAAATACAGCACCCCGAAAAACCGCATGAAGACGCCGACATCGACTTCATCGGCGTCGCCAATTCAACCCACTGGACCAGACGCATCCATGCGCTCTGCGATGAGCGCCATGACCCCGACGCCGCCCTACGTCTCCTCCACCGCCTAGGCCTCCTCGGCTACCGGCCGGGACCCCTCAATGTCAGCAGCGTCGTCCACGCCCTCTGCGGTGCCGGCCGCTTCCTGGAGGCCCACGGTCGCCTGCTCTCCTTCGTCACCTCCGGCTGCGCCCCCGACGAGCGCACCTGCAACGTCCTCATCGCCCGGCTGCTCGATGGGCGTGACGCTTTCGCCACGTGGCGGGTGGTGAACGCGCTGATCGGCGAGAGGCCCGAGTTCGTGCCCTCACTGGTGAACTACAATCGCCTGATCGATGGGTTTTGTAAACTGGGGAAAGTTGAAACGGCTCATCTGATGGTGTATCACATGATGAGAAAAGGGCATTGCCCTAATGTTGTGACGTATACAACTTTGATTGGCGGGTACTGTGGTATAGGCCAGGTTTATGCTGCCCAGAAGGTGTTTGATGAAATGTCTGATTTTGGAGTACGATGTAATGCGCTCACTTACAGTGCTCTGATTCGTGGGGTTCTGAGGGAAAGGAATCTCGATAAGGCAAATAAATTGATGGCTGAATTCTGGGAGGTTATTGGAAATGACGAGGATTTGCAGGTTAACAACGCGGGTTTTGGCAGCGTGATTGATAGCTTGTGCAGAGAGGGTCTGTTTCACTTGGTGTTCAAGATTGCAGAAAATGTGTCGGAATGGAAAAATGTAGTCAATGAATTTGCCTATGGGCAGATGATTGATTCTCTGTGCAGGTTCGAGAGGTACAATGGCGCCGCAAGAATCGCGTATATTATGAGGAAGAAGGGTGTTAACCCGAGCACAATTTTGTATAACTCGATCGTGCACGGTTTGTGTACAGATGGCGATTTCTTGAGGGCGTACCAGGTGTTGGAAGAAGGTTTGCAGATTGGGTACTCACCGTCCGAGTTTACTTACAAAGTCATGGTCTCAGGCCTTTGCCGTGAAAATGAGCTAGCCAAAGCAAAGGAGGTTTTAAACATCATGTTGGGTAAGGAAGGTGTTGAGAAGACTAGGATATACAATATCTATTTGAGGGCTCTTTGTTGTACGAATAATCCAACCGAGCTTCTGAACTTGCTCGTTTTGATGTTTGAGTCCCAATGCCAGCCGGATATCATTAGCCTCAATACCGTAATAAAAGGATTTTGCATGACGGGGATGGTCGAAAAGGCTCTGCAGGTGTTTAATGACATGCTCATGGGGAAATTTTGCGGACCAGATGAGGTCACCTTCACGACCATCATTTCTGGTCTTTTAAATGCAGGCAAATCGAAAAAAGCTTTGGACTTCATGACCAAAGTGATGCCCGAGAAGGGTTTTTCGCCAGGTGTCGTGACATATAATGCGTCTATCCGCGGGCTGTTTAAGCTCAACCTAATGAATGAAGCTATGCAAGTTTTTAACAGTATGACCTTGAATGGGGTGGTTCCCGATTGCATAACTTACACTGTTGTGATCGAGGGGCTTTGTGAATCCTTTAGAATAGACGAAGCTAAAGATTTATGGGGCCGTGTAGTTTTGCCGTCGGGAGTTCACGATCATTTTGTTTATGCTGCCTTGCTGAAGGGGCTATGCCGATCGGGAGGGTTTGACGAGGCGTGTTGTCTGCTGTACGAATTGGCAGATTGTGGTGTGGTCCCAAATAATGTGAATTACAATATCGTCCTCGACCAGGCGTGCAGAATGGGTCTGAAGAGAGAGGCTTATCAGATTATTGGCGAGATGAAGAAGAATGGGGTAGCTCCAGATGCTGTGACGTGGAGAATATTGGATAGGTTGCATGACACTATGGGTAAAGCAGATTCGGGGGACTTGAATGTAGTCAATTTATCGAGTTAGCATAATTAGTATCAACAAGACAAGACGAAGTTTGGTTTACTGGAAAAGGTACCGATAAATTTTCTTTTATTTGTATTTTCTCCAATAAAATGTCTCTGCATATTTAGCCCTGTTGCCAACAAATACCTGGTGTCTGAAACTGTGGTTTTTTCACTGGATACAGTAATTTTTACAGGTTTCTGGGTTCTTTTGTAATTAGCGTATGATTGTTTATCAAAGTACCAAAAGTAAGCAGAATAAAGGAAAACAGAAAATTTGGTTCTCTTCAATACACACACACTGACATGAGCATTTTATTCATATAAACAACACAATCTCACCATCACAAGACACTTATAAACACAAACACTTCTCCTAAAATCCTTCACTGCAAACACTCATCCTTCAAAAATCTATGCCGTTTAGAACAATCAAACCCCATTTTCTTTTTTATCACACCAAATCAACTTCACTGGGGCTCTCAAAAACCAGTGAGTCCCTATCTTGACTGGAGTGACAAAAATCTGCGTACACACACAAATGCTAAATTTCTCAGCTTTTGAAAACCTTTGCATCATTCTTACTTCTTAGCAGGACCTGGCAAGTCTCGTCCGTCAGGACTCACGGGGTTATTGTCACAGGCCTCTATGTCCTTGTCGACTGAATTTGAAAACTTAAGATACTGCTCGATGTTGGATTCCGAGCTGCCGGACCTCCTATGGTACCATCTCATTGTCTTCTTGGGCCGCCTCTCGCTGATTGCAATGGCTATGTCGTTCGGAAATAGGTCCCGCAGAACAAAGGCGTGAATAATAGTGGTCACGAGCAGTGCTGATACTGTAAGTGTGGACAGGATGCAGAGGATGACGGTTAGGGATTTGGTCACAGTACTCATGACCACATCCGAGTATCTGATGGTGGCAATGGCTGCTCCTGTCATGGGGAACGTGTAGGCCCACCAAGCCAGTGAGAATCTGCACGCGATAATCCAGCATGCAAGATTGATTAGGAATGTCAAACTCGAAGCAAAAAGGTTTGTTTGCTCTTAGCTGGAACTCTTTTTTTTTTTTCCTTTTAAATAATGGTTTTTTTTACCAACTTCTACTTCTGATTTTTGTGTAATTTTTGCGTAATCATTATTTGCAAATAGATATATTTAGTTCATGCGCTGTGAAGAGTGATTTTTTCGACTAGATTGTGGTGCATCGAATTATGATTATGCAAAATCATGCGCAAAATCAGAAGCAGAACTCGACAATTTGGGACACACTAAAAAATGCTCCTTTTCTCCATCCAAAAGCTAACAGTTACATCTTATAGATGGTTTCAACTTTCAAACAGTACCGTTGTAATTAACAACAGAATGGGTGAAAATGTACCTGAATCCTCTGAAGAAATTAACACGAACGGCCTGCAAAAAAAGAACAGGTACAAAACAAACCCGATTAGTATCGAAACACTATTTGAGATGAAGGCCAAGCAATTCCAGAAGCTGGACGGCAAAAAGAATGCGCTTAAAAAACTAACCAGCGAAAAATAAAGGAACAATGCAATGAAGTACGCGATCCTCGACCCGTAATCAAACGAGCCCTGAATCCTTGCCCATGCCATGGAGGCTACACTTGGTGCAGCCACAAACAGAAAGAAAACTGGGTGGAGCTCCTTGGGAAGCGTCTCATTTGTCGGCAGCCTCTGGTAGAGTGTCACAAACAGCACCGTGTAATGGGCCAGCCCAACTGCGAAAAAGAAAATGGGCCCTTCTTTCAGACCCATCGACGCCCCAAGTAAAGCCCCGACAAAATTCCCCACTACCGAAAGATGATTGGATGGGTTCGCCACCTTTGAGAGCCTCCTCTGCCCACCGGACATCCACTGCCCGTATATTTTAATCTCGAGAATAAAAAACGGTGTCATGAGCACGTACCACAAAGATGCATGCAGGGTTTTGGTTATCGATGGTGGTACTCCCAAAGCCAAGAAAAGAAGGGCAATAAACGGGGCGAAAAAGAAGTTGACGCGTATCGGGTGGTAATATTCGCGGCGAACGGCTTCGAAGTATAATACTATTTTGAGGCTGTACAGTACTGTCACAGTGAGTACGAGGGCAAGGGATATGAACCAGAGTACGAGGTTTACGTCAGGGGTGATGTGGAGGAATTTTGTCGAGTTCGAGGTTGCTAGGGTTTTCCACATGATGGCTTGGCTGCTCACACCTAAGCAGATACCAAAGGAGGAGATGGGAAAGCGTAGGAGAAAAGGCCACGTCTTGTCTTCTGGGAGGAGTAATTCTTCGGAAGCCTGTCGGTAAAATTAAAGAATGAATAAAGAAAAGTAAATCGATTTCTACAATAGATCGAATTTTTTCAAATATTGAGTTCTGCATGAATGATTATTGTTTATTTTATTTTATTGTTTGATATAGGAAACATAAATAAGTACCCGGAGTGTATCCAGCTCGGGTCCTTCCAACGCATCAAAGTACCGATCCACGGGCAAATTGATTTCTGGGTGCTGACGATCATTTCCAGGCTCCTGCTCGTCTTCCCTGTGTCTTACCCCACGCAAGTTCGATATCTGCTTCTCGAGTTTTCCAGACCATGTCTTGAAAGAGTCGAACCTCTTATCCTGCAGCCGATCGATCCTCGGATTCCTCGCCGGAAGCTGACCGGACGGATCATCAAGAGCTGAGCTTTTTGGCATCGACATCGGCTGAGAATAAAACCGTGGCTTATTTTTCGAGCCATCGCCATTTTCCAAATGTGCCGCGTCATCAGAATTTGGAATATTGTCTCCTAAAATTGTCTCGCCGTCTCTAAACATGACTCTGTTTGTGCTCTTTACGTGAGCTTCATTAATGGGAGATGGAGGCATGCTGATTGAGACTGAATGCTTCCTTTGATGATTACATTGACTCTCCTCATTTTTCGTGGCTGCAGCTGCCTCGATCCCCTGAGATTGGTAATTCAATAGTTAAGAAAAAAGGAAAATATATATATATATATATATATATATATATATAAGTTAGCATTCTTCTTAATCAAGGTTTTATAATGAGATCTTGCTTGATGCTCCATTGATGTTTTGACTAATTTTTGCAGTAAAGGTGATATTGCTTGCAAAAAGTTATATATGCCTTGAAGATGGGCCCAGCCCGGCCTGGCCGGCCCGTGAGAGTGTGTGTGTTCGTATGAGAGAGAGAGAGAGAGAGATACAGAGAGAGAGGCTTACAAATATTGAGGTTTTGGGATGAAAAGCAGTTGAATTGAGTGGGGACTTGTGGTCATTATTGTGCCCATCAACACTATCAAAACCAGAAACCTCATTTGCAGCAATAGCTTTGATCAGTGAAGGGAGTTTCTGCTGTGGATCTTCACTTTCCAAATGATTCTGTTTTCTTTCCTCCATAACAATATCAGCCATTGCCTGTAATTTTTTTTCTTTTTTTTTGGTCCACCACAAGTTTATTAGACTAGAAATTTGAGGCCACAAATAAAGATGAAAAATTTGAAGTCATGGCACCAAAAGAAACAAAAGGTGGGAAAAAGAATCAAGATTATGCTAATAATATCCTTTTTTTTTTCCCAAATGTTCATAATGAAGGACAATTTTTTTTTTAAAAAAGGTACCAATCAGCCCAAAAATCTTTGAGTTTTTACCTTAAACTCTCTTCTTTGCTAGTTGCCTGAATTTTATGAAGCAATGCAGACCATCAAAAGCTAACAAT